CAGAGGGACAACGCACGTCGAAAATTCGCTTTAGACCCACGTCAAAAGTTCACCGATCCCGATTGGTTCCTGATTACTCATCAGTCCTACTCTCGGAGTGTTCCCCCTTTTACCTACCAAGTGCACTCCCTTTTTGAGCGTCCCGTTGTGGAAAAGAAATTCGTAACTTAATGTGATCCAAAAACGGCAGTCAATTACTTCTTCGAGTCACAGCTCCCTCATTCCTGAAGAGATGGCATCAGTGATTGGCTCAAAGGATAAAAGAAGGTCGTTGACTTCTTCGGCAAAAATTTCCTCGAAAATTGATTGATATGAAAAAATTTAGAAATGACCTAAAAAAGGTCTCCATTTTGTCGCAGGACTTATTTGCCAACCTAATAGATAGGGGCAAGTTAGATGGTGGCAAGTGGCCATCATTAGATAGGGGCAAGTTAGTTGGTGGCAAGTGGCCCTCATGGCTACCTGTATGGCTCAGAGACATATTCCCAGCCGAGGCCGATCAAGTCTTCCAAAGCATAGAGGACTTTTACTGTTACCATAACCATTCCTACCCAAATCACAAAGTTGTAGGAGTAAAGCGTAAAGTTAGTCGTTCATAAGCTTCGTATTTTTCATGGGGTCTTGCATTTTCTGGGGTAAAATCATGAATTATCATGTTTTCATGACAACCAACTTTTATTTGAATATTCCGTAATGGATACAGTGGACTGCGTTGTTTCTATGATGTTAAAGTAGAATGAAGATGGGTGAATTGCATGCCAAAAACCTCAGATGTAAGGTTTAATCTGAGATTATACCGGAACGAATTTATTAGGGATAACCTGCAATGTTCAGGCCTCTATTAACAGTTTTTAATAACAGTTTTTGACGGGTCCGATGCAACAAATCTATAGCAATCAGAATAGTTATCGATCGCATCCAGGAGAGAATGCCATTTTCAGGAGATTCAGCCAAGGTAAACATGTATATTGATTGTTTTGCAGGCAGGAAAACCTGTTTTTGAAGCAATCTTCAGAAGTTCGTTTCGATTTTCTCGATTCTATCTTCTCATCATCTCAATATTTTGCCATATGATACGGTGCAAGCGTGTCATTTCCAGTCGAGGCCTAACAGCTGCTTTCGAAATCGCCAGAAATTCGCGCATTGGCCCGAATTTCGCTTTTATGTGGAAGCGTAAAGTATAAAACGACTTTCCTAAACGAATATTCCTTGGGCTTTTGAATGTTACCACTAGGTTGATGCCATAATGTTTACAACAACAGGCATCTGCTCGAAATGCATCAATGGTGTGAGCCTAAAAAAATTCCGAAGCTTCATCTTCGACAATATCAAGCAAAAGCCCGTCTGAAGGAACTTCGAACGATTTATTCACAGGAACGACTACCGAAAAGCTCAGTTTACTGGAAAAAGCGCATTTTACACGTGGATTACGCCGAACAAATGGGTTCCATTAAGTAATGTAGCATTATATTATCGATCAGCTGCTTACTCAGCCTTACTTTCGAAACTGAGGTATGTGACTCACATGAGATTACTGACAACGTACCTAATGATGACTAATTATTTGCATTCAAAAGAGGAGGAATTCGATTTAACTAAGCTTTTGAGAGTAATTATTTCGGGAATTCGGGAGTTTTACGAATAAAAAAGTTTGATTGGCAGCAAAAAATGAAGAAACGGGAACTTCGAAAATTGGAAAATGAGTTAAACAAAAATTTAATCGTCAGCGCAGACTAAATAAAAATAAAATTATGAGGCTGCGACAAAAAAACATGGATTAGCAGCTTGAAAAACACAAGAAAAAATCGAAGAAATCGCCCGAAAAAGAAATCAGCTCAAAGAAAACTGCATATATCGCTAGCTTGAGCAGTTCAAAAAAAAA